CACTAATCGTCGTGGTAGTGATGCTGTCCAGAGAAGGTGCCAACATGCCATTCAGGAGAAATATTGAAAATATTATGTAAAATTGGTATTATTGATAAAAAACAAAATATTCAGTGATATGAATAAAGTATAGCAAATGCTTTTACTCTACCTCTGTCTCTTTTTGCTGCATTGAAGCTGGATATCTTTATCTCAAAAAACTTAAGTAAAAGCATTTGCTTCTGTTTTATTCATATGAGCCATTGTTGTCGAAATGACTCACCGTTACCTTCCAAAGCCCATTTTCCCCTTTCCCTTAGAACCCATTTACCCCCTAGAGCCCACTTAGACAGTGCATAGACACGGTACCGGCATTGTTATAGATATTGAAGATGCTCCATTACCTGTGCAACTCAGCAGTTTTTGGGGATCATCAAAGAACAAACTGAACTTGCAGGTGTTCATTGTTAATTCCTTGATAGCTTCTTTGACTGGAACACCATGTAGTACCAACCTCACCATTAGTGCCTTTTATGGTGATGACGAAGCTGAGGTATCATTCAACTGTATGTACATTTGTGTAAAGTGGAATGCAAGTGAACCACCCACAAATAAGTTGCTTGTCAGTAGAGGAGGTAGACTTTAGAATGCTGATTCAAAACATGCACATGCATGTGTGGATTTACCGCAATAATTCTCATTAGTGCTAACACTAACATAATGGAATAGCTTTGTTTCACTGGGACTTGGAGTTCAGAAACTGGATACGCACTGGAGTTGATGGTTCCACGCGACTTTTACCTGTTCATGATATTGATCAAAAAACTGGGTTAAAACTTATGCTCTTTGCTTCTAGTCATCCACGCTTTATCTTGGTCAGATCATACCAGTAAGTTCGGCATCAAAAAAGCAGCCTTTCACAGTGCATCCACGGCAGATCTGTATCATTTTGGCGTATCATCTGTTTGGGCTGACAGATAGAACAAAGCCTCGGCAGAAACATACTTGGTGCAGTTACTACAGAAAGGGTCATCCTGTAAATCTCCAGATGAACTTTGATTGTTGATGTATCTTCATGCAAAGAATATAGATATTCAAGATTTGCCGACTACAAGCCGAACTGCCAAGGGCCATTTGTTGAGATCCTTTTTCTACACGCCACATTCCTACAGGCGTAGGGATGTGGCGACCCCATCGCCAACGATTCGAGTTCAAGACTTGACCGTGCAATCAGCAAGCCCTGAACTTGAGGGACCCAATCGTCTTAGTTTATATGCCATTGGGTCGGAAATCGAGCTTAGAGACCGTGGGTATGCTGACTGTGCATCAGCATACCCACGTTAATAAAAGTCACGCGCAGGTACCTTCTGTTCGAGGACACATAAGACCATCAAGTCCAAAACACACCAAAGTCCTTTGGCTATCGGCCAATTGCGATGGGAGCAGGATAGTGTAATCGCCGTTTTGCTCAAGGAGCAACTCGTGTGATGATTCCGTGACTGACCAGCCCTATTTAGGATCCGCTCTGTTTACCCTGGAAGGCAAGGGGCTAAAAAAGGTGCCTGAAACATAGCCAGCCCACAACTGCCTGACTGGATAACCGCGTCCAGAGGGTGCACCCCATGCGGTCGAAAGAAAACAAACTCAATCTTGCCACGTGGAATATTCTCACACTTATGGAGAGCAGCACAAATACATGACCACAACGAAGTACGGCGATGGTGGCACGGGAATTGAGGAGATTTAACATCGATATTTGCAGCTATAAGCGAAACCGGAAGGGCAGGCGAAGGTCAACTTAAGGAGCACGGAGGAGGCTCTACGTTTTCCTGGAAAAAGAATCAACCTCGCATCCACGGAGTGGGTTTCGCCATAAAAAATGAGTTTATGGAACATCTTTCTGAGCTTCCTTCCGAAATATGCGAAAGACTGATGACACTGCGGCTAAACCTCAGCAACAACCAACAAGCTACGTTAATCAGCGCCTACGCTTCAACCCTCACAACTGACGATAACCAAAAAGAGGAATTTTATGCCCAGTTTAGTCAACCTAGGTCTGATTAACTTGTTCTTCTAGGTGATTTCAATTCCCGGGTTGGTACAGAGTCACATCTATGGAAAGGCGTGATCGGCAAGGAAGGCGTCGGAAAAATGAACTCAATTGGACTTCGGCTACCAACAAGATGCTCAGAATATGACCTTGACAAGACATCCTGGCAACACCCTAGGTCAAAGCATTGGCATCTAATCGATAATATAATTGTACGTTCTAGAGACAAAAATGACGTATGTATTACGAGAGCTCTAACAAGTGCAGATGACTGCTGGACTGACTATCGGTTGATACGAGCCAGAATGAACTTGCGCATCCCACCAAACCGTAGATGTAAAAAAAGCAGTTCAAGCGCAAATTTAACATAGAACGCCTTCAAGACGATCATATCAGAACAAACTCTTAGATGTTGAAAAGATTAGAGAATATTTTATATACAAAAATCTTAAAATGCTTAATTATTTTATAAAATAACATTGTTTATGATCACACTTGTGAACACAGACTCATCTCTTCTGTGATAATATAACTAATGTCTGGGCCAGTGGTTCTGTAGCTATGGAAGAAATTCGCGGAAAATACTAGACATGAAGTATACCTCATTCGAAAATCAATTTTTTAATAACAAAATATCGATAATAAGAAAACGCTAAATATTTTAACGTGGTTGTTGGATCTATTCTTATTGAATCACTGATTTCTCCAATTTTGTCTATTATCAAAAGTAAACATTTTCCAAACATACCATCAACTTTTGTCAATTTGGCAAACATCCGGCCTGGATGAACCTGATTGGTGAAGTTTTTGGCACGATCGCCGTTGCCATGGGCAACCATGCGGTTGTTATGGAGGTTACGTCTCACTATTATTGGCCAGGGCTCCCGTAATTTTATCCTCCCATCTTGAAATATCGACTTATATTGAAATATCCAGGGGTGGTGGTTTGGTCATTGTCGATTTTCGTGTACGAATTGCCATACGATATTATAATTCCAAAAAGTTCCGCACGCAGCTGGGTATTTTATGAATGAAATAAGCCATTTTTTTTACAACTGCATTTCCCTCACCGATGTCGTAGCTTTAGAATCGTTGGCCAGCCATTTATGATCAAAAATTCCGGTTAAATTTAATCTCCGGTTAGATTCAAAGTTGGTGTCAAATGATAGTTTATGAAAATCTAAGATAAGAATGTAAGATAGGTTTTCCTTTAAAAATAACCGTTTAGGTTTTACAGCCTGTCAAAGTTGCAAAAAAGTCAATTTTCAACTGTAAATATTTCCAAAACAGTTCAAATCAGGTAAAGGGTATATCACATGAAATCTGCTCAGAATTTTTTCGTAGTATCCAAATATGGAATTACATACAGGGTGTCTCATTTAAAATAAGCATGTTGACGTCTAGTGACTACTTTCGGTATAACCGGATCGGATGTGCCACCATCTTGAAAATATTTTAGCCGGGTTGCCCCCATTGACATTAGCATACTGTAAAATTTTCAAAAAATGTTCTGCCTACAGTTTTTCATATATAGATCGATTTGGTTTCTGGTGAGACACCCTGTATAATTCACACGTTTAATTTTGTTTTTTTGGTAAATTTCCAATTTTATCAGGGAAACCATTGATCATTTTCATTAGGTACCTACGTATACATTATTCAGAACAATATGTGAGATTTTTTCGCATTTACCTAAAGTTGTACTTTTCAGGTACCTACTAAATTAGTTTTACAACAATTATCATGATCATGTTTCACATCACAATCAATGAACAGACCCCTATTTTCTCTCACAAATATCACAGAAATCACAGAATCCAAAATATACATTCCTGTTAGTGTTACTTAGAATATACTTTTCAGCAAAAATACGTTAACAACTTTCTCGTTGTTCCATGTAAAAAATGATCCGAATCGACCTCTTCTGCGTAACCATAATTATTTGTATGTCCAAAATATTACTCCGTTTCAACCTGGATACGACGTAAAAAGCATGAGCGACAATGGCCGCGTCAAGACTCATGTGATCAGATATTACAAGCAGGTTATAGAAGTATCTAATATACTGCTCCATGAGTTTTGCAAGGTGCCCCCTCCAATCTAGCTCCCATCAAGCATCAATCTGCACACCCCAAAAATCGCATAGACTTTATAGGCTTCAATCCAAATAAATATTATTGAATAATTTGTGGAAATAAGAGTTGATTTAACGTTACAAAAACTACCCCATTTCAAATTTACAATAAAACTACTGAATTTCATTTGAATGAATGCCAAAATATGAAAATTTACCCATTGAATGGTTTAATACGGATGAATAATAATTGAAAGTTTATTTTCAATAAGTTTTTGAAATATCTGTGCCAAAATGAAGCCAACTATACGTTCCCTATATTGACCAAAGACACACATGAAACATGAGGTTACATACACCAACAAAAAAACTGCTGCTCAACTGCTAAAAAATAATTTACAAAACGCTTTTGATGAACATTATTTATTTTTCCATATAAAAATACAAATAAAATGTGATGAATTATGACAAAAGTTATAAATGCTAGTGATGATGATAAACTGAACTCACAAGAAATTTCTAGCGCATAGATGTCCTTTGGATAAGGCTGCATTTTGTTTTGTTATCAATATTACCTAAGTATACCTCGCTGGTTTTGACTTTCTGGACAAGTGATAATAGTGATAGCTTGCAAAATGATCTATTTACGCTTGTCATAAATATGTTTCAGCTGTTAAAATCTATGTACCTACATAGTACAGTACAAGTGTGGTTATTCTAGACACCCAAACTTATTTTGTTAGACGGCAAGCCTGAGAGGCGCAGCGATACTATAAAATTCATAAGAAAAAGTGTGTTACTTCTCATGTTACTTGTATTAAGCATGATTTTGAGCCTGAAGATAATTTTATGAATTCTTTTTATTGGTAACCATGCTTATTTAAGATATCTTTTTAGACCACCTACTGTTGTACGAAATGACATAGATCACATTACAGCACGTTTAGAAGAACTTGATATGGATGATATCCAAAGAAGACGAATAGAAGTGTTTCTTTGTCAAAAACAAAAAATATCAGGCGATTTATCTGATGATGACTTCGAAAAACTTGGTGAACTTGGTTCTGGAAATGGGGGCGTTGTCAACAAAGTGCGGCACAAATCCAGTGGCCTTATTATGGCTAGAAAGCTTATACATCTTGAAGTTAAGCCAGCAATTAAAAAGCAAATTATTAGAGAGCTCAAAATTCTTCACGATTGTAACTTTGCCCATATTGTTGGTTTTTATGGTGCTTTTTATAGTGATGGGGAAATTAGTATTTGCATTGAATATATGGATGCAGGATCACTTGATCTCATTTTAAAAAAAGCTGGAAGGATTCCCGAAAATATTCTTGGCAAAATAACATCAGCAGTGCTTAAAGGCTTGAGCTATTTGCGAGATAAACATGCCATCATGCATAGGGATGTGAAGCCGAGTAATATATTGGTTAATAGTAGCGGCGAAATTAAAATTTGTGATTTTGGAGTATCTGGTCAATTGATTGACTCTATGGCTAATTCATTTGTTGGTACAAGAAGCTATATGTCTGTAAGGATCAATTATTTTTTAAATAACTATTTAATCTTCCATATTAACTATTTAGAAATCGCTGATTTGGGTTCATATAAAAAAGAAAAACTGTGTTTTTTTTTTCAATTTCTTGAACCCTAATCACAATTTCCAATTTCAAAAGTAATGCTTGTTCAATGCTTATTTCTTACTTCACTTTTAGCCTGAACGTTTACAAGGTACCCATTATTCAGTCCAAAGCGATATCTATTCATTAGGACTTTCTCTTGTGGAAATGGCAATTGGCATGTATCCTATACCTCCTCCAGATGCAAGAACCTTGGCTGCTATATTTGGTAGAGGCAAAGATAGTGATTCGCCAGATAGCCCCAAGGTACCTAGGCCAATGGCAATATTTGAATTGTTGGATTATATTGTGAATGAGCCTCCACCTAAACTTCCATCTGGAATATTTTCTCAGGAGTTTGAAGATTTTGTGGATAGGTGTTTACGAAAGAATCCAGATGAAAGGGCGGATTTGAAAACTTTAATGGTAAGTGATGTACAGGGTGCGAGCTATTAACACGATCCACCTTGAACATTTCAAAAAAAAATTAGGTTATTACTTGGGTGAAAGTAAGCTCACGGGTTGATAGGTCTCTTTTTTTTAGTACTTTTTTTATACATTGTGTCATTGTGAAGGTGTAGCCACCTTTGAGAAGACCTGTTAGAAATGGGCATAGCACATAGTAAAGTCACCTTCTTCCCTAATCGCCTCAATCATCTCCAGATAATATGCAAAATCTATCTATAGGAAATGTTTTACTACCATAATTTGTTGGTCTGCTATTGATCAATTATTTATAATCGTGCAGAGGACGCCAGCGTCTCCAGCCATCTTCGAGTCATTTTTTTTTTTCAAGAAGTAGAGCCTGCATTTTTATTGTTCAATGTTTCAACTTTCAGCACAGTCGACCGTTGAGTGCAGGATTTTGTGTAGCAAGCTCACGTCTCTTCTGTATCTTCTACACCGCAAGGGTTCCAGCCTAAATCAGCTGCAGAGCGTTGCATAGTTGATTATAAAGTTATCGGGATGATACCAGCTTTGTATTCAAGGTGCCGTATGAACTTGCGTTGTACTTCTTCCAGCACATCCATATGAGATGCATACATATGGGACTCCACAGTGATGAACAGTTTTCTAGAATTGGCCTAGGAACAGAAACAGCAGTCTTATGGATTCAATGTGCAGCGCTTTACGAAACCTACCAGCCTCGGACACCTTGAGGTGACTCCGATATATAAGCACTAAAAGGTAGTCAAAAGTAGTGCCAAGGTCCTTAATTTCCGTAATATATCAGAGAAACTGTTCCATCTATCAGGTAGTTGTAGTGGGTTCGATTGTAACTCCTTGAAACAGACATTAAGTGACATTTGGTCACGTTCCCATTGATCTTGAGATAACAAGTGTAGATCTTCAACCTGTATACAACTCCACGATCAAGTAGCAAATAATTTTACTGTTGGCTGGAAAATTTTAAAGTGAACTCTGTAGGTAGCTTTGATGATCCCAAGTTAATATTGGATAATACCTTACGAAAAATTTTCCAAATGACACAAACATAGGCAATTTTGATTTAGGTGAAATTATTTACAAGTTTAAGAAATAGTTTGTATTTATTATTTCAGAATCATCCATGGATTAAAAAATGGGATTCAGAGGATGTCAATGTAGCAGAATGGATATGTCAAACAATGGATATAACACCGCCAAATAGGCCTTAGCTGGAAATTTTTTTTTTCACCCATAGCTAGAATTACAAATTTATCATAATGTAAAAGGTGAGTATTTTCAATTTCTTCCAAAATTCAAATGTGCTTAGTTGAAAAAAATATTTTATTTCATTATTATTATGATCATTGAATGTGGAGGATGCGAAAATCCTCGCAAAAAGCACATTTTAAATTTAAACCTATTTATTTGTACTTATTATTATTTTGCTTTTGCTATAATGGATGCGCTTTTTTTCTATTCCCAAGTGTTCAATTAGAGAACAATATTTATATTCAAATCAATAGAAAACTCATGCTGTGCCGAGCGGGTCGATCAAATATCATAGCACGGGACTTTTTTTATTGAGACTGTCAGTTTTGAAACAATATGGTAGGTGGCCCATCGAAAACAGTCCTGCAAGGTTTACGACTTTCTTCGTGAAAATTTTTAAAAAAAACCTTCAGACCTGTGAATTTTTGTTAGGTGATACATCTTTTTAAAGTGCATTAAATTCTCTTTAAAATGCCACTTCGTTTTTTAAATTTGAGGTACGCGCCGTCGAGAAATTGCGTTTTAAAAAATGTAATTTTATTGAGCAGTACTGCAAATGTTATCTTATTAAATGATGAAAATGTCCGCCATTGACCTCCGTACAATAGTACAACAACTACTGTTCAGAGTATTCTCGGACGTTGTGAAGAACATGTAATTTGTTGGCATTCATTAGTGATGCGGTTCCGTAAATCTTGTAAGATCTTCTAATCTTCTAATTTTCTAAAACGCAATTTCTCGACAGGGCGTAGCTCAAATTTAAAAAACGAAGCGGCGTTTTAAAGAAAATTAGATGCCTCTAAAAAGATGTACCTATCACAACATACTTCTTCCTATTCGAAAAAATAAGAGCAGTAGCCGCCCCCGCTAGGGGGTTGAGGTTACAGGGATGAAATTAATAGTGAAACGTGTTCCCCTGAAAACAAAAATTTACGGGTCCGAGGGTTTTTTTTTAATTTATAATTTCTAGCATGTCCGTAAGTTCATAATTTAAGGATATGTGTTCCGGTTTGATCGGAAGTGCCATCAACTTCTTTATTTCAAATGGATTACCTGCTATATTAGTGAATTTTTGGATTCTACGAGAAATTCTACGCATAGTTCATGTACAATATCCTATTCCTAACTTTAATAGTTATCGAGAAAATCGCGATTAAAAATCTGAAAGTATAATTTTTATTTTAGTTTTGAGTGTTTGGACAGAAAACATAGACCTACCCCAAAAAAAAAAATTACTTCTGGTTCAATTCTCCTACTGCTTTTGAGGTTATGTTACTGCAATTTTTATGGAACGTACCCCATACTAGTAACTGAAAATTTGTATTTTACTATTTTACGAAAAATTTTGAATAGTTTTGTATAGACTTTCCTATACCTAAAGTGTACGTTATCAATTTTTGTTGGTTTAGACATGAAATATCTCAAAATTAGTTAATTTTAGGTCTGGCATAGAAAAGTGTACACCATGAAGATTTAAAATTATTTGTAGAGTACGAATTTTCAGTTAATGGGTACCAATTAGTACAGTAACATAATCTGAAAAGTAGATCGTAACTTTCAATTGGACCGGAAGTGAAATTTTTGTGGTAGGACTCTTTAGTGCTTTTGAAAGAATTTGAAAATATTATATTAGTTTGAACCTACCTTCAATTGTTTTCTGTCAGTACTAAAATTAATTTCGCGATTTTCTCGAAAACTGTTAAAGATAGTTCGTGGTCACCCGGTATATCAACACGATGGACGACAATTTCAGATTCAGTTCATGATCACTCACAACATATTTATTTTACCTTTACTGTGTAAATAGGATTTCATAGAAAAATAGTTATGAATTTTTGAATCACGGACACCTGATAGCATTTGTGTGGTATTTATAGCTCTTCTCCAACACAGCAGAAAACCGTACAATTTACCGTCACGATTTTGCGCAAAACCTAAAATTTGTGCCTAGAGTTCGAAATTCGCATACAGTGTGGTTTCGAAACCGTTCATAAGACGGTTTTCGACGTGTTGGAACAGACCTAAAAACTACCTTTCATTATGTATTATGTTTTTCCGGATAATAATTTCCTTAGCTTAAATTTTCTATATTTCACTGATCTCTAAATTGTCTATCTGAAATATTGAAAAATGTTTAATGCTGTTCCAAATTTAGGAAAGTAGGTATTGTGTGGCAAGCAAAAACTGAACCGAGGAAAATATGTGAATATATCTGTCACTTTCTATTCCATTGCTCTGTGTATTCCTAAATCGTTTTTACTTGTCCCTTCGCCTCAGACGAGAAATATTTTCTCTCAGTGGTTAACCTATTCAATAATAGGTATAGGTCCTACTTATAAAATAATTTCAGTTTCACGTACATTGAATGATTTTCTTCAATATTGCGATGTAGTATTCTTTTAATTCGAACACACTTATCTTATTATATTACTATCAACCTATCACATTAAATTATTTGAAACTTTTTTTTTACTGTCCAAATGCTTGAAATGTTTCTCGATGCTCATTCAGACGATTCTGATCAGAAAACCTGACCTCTCATATATTCCAAAGATGTAACAAAAACAGAGCATATTTTACGCTCTAGAAAAACGTAGACATTATCATACAATCTAAAAAACAGTGCTTAAATGTAAAAAAAACTTGTAAATCTGTTAATGAAAACTTTTTCTTTCCATTAGAGTAGGTGATTAAAATGTAATGGAGAAAACACTTGCAGTGAAATCACATTAGTTTGTAGGTACATAAAAAAGCACCTTACCATATTAAATGAATTCGCCGTTTTGCTCATAGTTTGTAGGTAGATAAAAAAGCACTATATTAATTGAATTCGCCGTTTTGCTCCTGGTTTGCACCTTTATTCAAAAAGGTGTATTAGAAGAATATTAGGAAATTTAGGAAATATTTAATAATTTTAGCTTTACATTGCCCGTTTATAAAAAAATGTTAGTGTATCGCACGACGCACGATAGAAGTGTAAACTTGCTTATTAAAATTCGTCCTCTCCGAAAGCGTTAAATGTGTTGAACGTCTGACTTCGTATAAGAAGTTTACACTTCAATAATAGAGTATGAATGAAATATAGCTCAAGGGCGTAACAATTTCCATGTATGGCTATCTAAAACACTTTCCTGAATATACACTCTATTATGCCTCACCAAGTGCGTTCTTTGAATTGGAGCTCTAGGGTTTGTGTGTCACTAAGTAAGTACTACAAACTAACTTAGAATCAGAAACATAGTCTTCTGACTGTAGCCATAAAGATTTACTTAATGTATAAGGCGTTTCAAAACTAAGATAACAAATTTGGCAGTTTCTGAATTAGTATGATCTAAAGATTAACCAAGACACAAAAAAATCTAAAAATCACCGGAATCCTTTGCCGTGTGCCTACACCTGGTAAGGCATGATAGAAGTATATAATGGATGTACAGGGTGTCCTTAGAGAAACTGACACATTTTGCAGATAAATATCTCTCGAAAACGAGAAAAGATAACGAGATGCGGTTTGTTTTGGCAGAATAAGGATTTTTCAAAGTTTTTTTTCATGGTATTGACAAATCCTGAAATTTGGTTTTACAGACATTCGATTTTTTCAAATAATTACATACTGCCTTATTCTTGATGAAACACCCTGTATATTTTGTCATCGTCAGAAAGCGTGACTTTTCTACTTTACAAAAATGTATAATTTTTTTCAACTATCTCGAAAATGGTTCGTAAAAATTGCACTTTGTTGAAGAGGGTACCATCGACTGGCCAAAAAAAAATAATAATAATTAATTTGTGTTTCATATGCACTTGCATTATTAATTTATTTGTGTTTAATACTTGTATTATTAGTTAACTATGCGCTAATTAGTTAATAATAGTATATTATGTACCTAGGTAGAGAAGTTGGTCATTATATACCGAGCGCCGAGGTTTATAATGCGTAAGGTATATAATGACTTTCTCTACCGAGGAATATATAGAATTTTTTTTACTACTGCTAGTAGAAAATAGAAAATTAGTATATGTGCTCAAATAATTTTTTTTGAACGCCTTCTTGAGAGTGCTGCCCTCTATCAACAGCTTATGGAAACTTGCTATGTATCTACAGAAACCTGTTTTTTTTTTTAAATTGACGTATGAAATTAAAATTAAACCAATAGAAACATGACAATATCCTTGCATCATGACGTCATTTTCATTATTGACCTAGGTATTTTTTCATTATTTTCATTATTAACCTAGGGAGAGAAATTCAATTTTTTCCTAGAAAAATAGATTGAATAATGACTATTTCTCAGGTTAGTAGTAAAAAAAAGTATTAAACACAACTTAATTATCAATTTTTTTTTTGTTTGTTGATGGTATTCTCTTCGACAAAGTGCAATGTTCACAATGAAAGTTCAAGATAATTTAAAAAAATGATACATTTTTGTAAAGTAGAAAAATCAGGCTTGCTGACAATGACAAAATATACAGGGTGTTTCGTTAAAAATAAGGCAGTCATTTTATTTCAAAAAATTGCATGTCTGTGAAACCAAATTTCAGCAAATTTTAGGATTCGGCAATAATGTGATTTTTTTTTTTAAAAAATCCTTATTCTCCCAGAACAAACCGCATCTCGTTATCTTTTCCCGTTTTCGAGATATTTACCTGAAAAATGTGTCAGTTTTTCTAAGGACACCCTGTATATCACATCATTCTTAATGAAATATGTCACTGAGCTAATACGTGATAACTTTTTGAAATTGACTAGAATTAATACTGTTGGTTGTGAATAATATTACACAGAAACGCCCTTATAGTTTGTTTAAATTATTCTAATTTTAAGCATATTTATACGTAGCTTTTTTTTGTGATAGGTAATTTATATTCTGGAGATAATATATGTAGTAGTATAAAGATATATGTATAAATCAAGCAAAATAAACTATTTAATCGTAAACCTTAAATTTGGTTTTATTTGGAATATAAACACTTGAAACATCAAATTAAACTAATTCCAAGATCTATTGAAAAAAAGGCACTTTTAGAATAGAAACCTCTACAATTTTTGTATAGTTTGACCCACAGAAGGTTGTACACGTAAACCATTTGTTTGCTTGCTAAACAAACTGTCGTGTGTCAAACTATACATCAGTACCTCAAAGGTAAACTGTATTAAATCACTTTTTTTCGAAAACGGGTTTTTAGCTGAATACTACTTCTAATAACTTGACCTCTGAAAAAAATTTCATACACCTAGCTTTTAAGACAACTGAAATACCCAGTTGGAACCTGTATCAAGTCACTCACCAAGTTCAAAGGTAAATTGTACTAAAATCACTTAGTATATTATGCCCCGCAAATTTTTCTCCAGAGGGACGTACTTAATATAAAATCCCTCCGAAATTTTCAGTGGGCCGGCATTTTGCACGTGTTCTTAGTAGAATTAACATCGTGATTATTCGTCTTTATTGTTGTTTTGATTGTTATTATTACTATCGGTGAAATTCCAATAGACATAATTATTGAAAATGTTATGAAAATATACCTCACTCACTAAGATAATATAAAAGATGAATAAAACTTTGGTATAAGATAAATTGAATGCACCTCATCGTCATAAAAACCAGAACTTTCAGTGTGAGGCGGGGAATTAATAAAATACAAGATATTGGGCGACATCAAAATTTTCTTAATTTACTACAGGTAAACTATGTTGTCACTAAAATATGTTTTAAGTTGCATGTCATTATCAACTTCACTAGTGGTAAAGTATGTTAAGTCACTAAAACTAATTAGTACTGGCATTTTTTCTAAATCAAATAATAATCCTTATTACGTCACTAAGACATAATTCCATAAGCGAAATATCAGATCACTAAATTATAGGGTTTCGAAGAGATACCTAATTTACGTGATTTACAATTGTTTTTTGGCTCTCCTGAAAAATTATAAAATATGACTTAATACACTTTACCTCTGAGGTACAGACATTTATCATAGAAAAATTGCAACCCAGAGGGGCTCAAATTCTTCATTGATAGTGGGCCATGACAGTTTTGTTTCGTTTAAAAAAATGATATCATTCAAAAATCCTTATTGGGAACAAGTCAAAATTAAATTTCTACTAAAATTTTAAACTTGCTGCATGTTTCGTTACTCTGTATAGATTCATCTAATGAAACTACATTTTGATGTATGAAGGCTAAACTTGGCCGTTTCCATTCTGTGGATGTTAGATATGTAAAGTTCTTCTTCCAAAAAATTTTACCAAGGGTTGTCGGACTAAGAACAACGTCTTTTAAATTAATTTTCAAAATTTCTGCAAAAAGATCTGCTGTTTCAGAAGCAACAATTATTTTTCTCAGAGCCTTATTTTCTACCAGTTGTTCAGATTTACAAGATAGTAGAGTGCCCAACGCAGTCAAAGCCTTCAAAATCAGTTTTGTAGGCACGTCGGGGCTACAAGCTGAAACTTGCACAGAATGAAAGTTTTATTATGTTAATTCAAAATCCCAAGGTGATACAAAATCAGAACGGGCAAAAGGGCAGCATACTTAAAAATTGAGATTATTGCATGAACGCATAGAATAGTAATTTATGACTGTTCTCGCATAAAATTTATCTATATTTTTGTTCAAATTATATTTTTTATTATTGCTTCAAGTAAGCCGAATACATTGGCCCTTACGGTAAAATAAATCTATAAATTAAAATATCTCCGTTCCAACGCTGCAAGCTCTCAGAAAACTTAAATCTTTTTTTTGATCTAAATCATTTTAATAACTTAAGTCATTTGATTTCAAGTCATTTCTTGAAAGCTGACTTAAGACTTAACATTTAAGTCATATATATTCAAAATGATTTGTGACTTAAATGTTTTTTTTCCGAAAAAGAAAAAACTTAAGTCATTATTTAAAAGACTTAAATCAGTACATAACGATTTAAGTCAAAAAATAGATTTAAGTCTTTATAAAAAGCTACAGTCTATAAATTATTTAAGTAATTTATGAAATATTTAGGTATTTTCAGAAAAGATTTAAATCAGATTTTTCATATATTTTATCAAATTCAATCAAAAATTGATATTATTCTGGAAAAAGGTACTTAAATTGAATTCTCGTTTTCTTGACTTAAGTCAAATTTTTTGATTTCAGTCAGCTCATCATAATTTAAATCAAAAATACTTATAGACTTAAGTCATTAAAATGACTTACTGAAGGATTTAAGTCATAAAACAACTTAAACCACATTATACTGACTTAAGTCATTACGGAAATGACTTCACTTGAGAGAAAATACTTCAAGTCAAAGACTTGAGACTTAAATAATTTGAACTTTATGTTAGAATTGACTTAAGATTTAAATCATTTTGATTTTAGAAATGACTTAAGACTTAAGATTCAAGTCTTTTTAAAACTGACTTGTTGCAGCTCTGCTCCGTTCAAACCTGAGCAAAATCTGATTCAAATATACAAATTTTTGCATTCACCTCGCATATTCTCCGAAATAAAGCTCAAATCAAAAATTTTTATTCTTGCAAAAAGTTTGCGCCATGTAGGTATCTAGCTTATATATGTGCAAGAATAATTTTTTGGTCTTGAATTTTAACACAAGTATAGAATTAAACATAAAAAAAGTAATTTTCTTCTCACTGGGACAGCCCACTCTCGCGCTACACCAGTACGTGCCAGTACTCTTCCATCTCACTTTTCTCCGTAGCTTCCTCTCTCTCTCGCCAATAGGCCCCTTGCATCAAATTTTTTTATTGCTGATTTCGATAGTCCATGAAAAATAAGTCAACACGTGTTTTTTCTTTTTCTTCTTAGTCAAAAATTGACGGAGATACAACGCTATGAAATATGCCTATGACGTCATCAGGTATAATACTTTATGACGTCGCACATGCTCAGTATATCTGTATATACAAAACTTAATATTTGTATAACTTCCGAAATAATCATATTTGGGCGAAATGAAAAAAAAGTAACGATTTTTTTTCGATTTCCTACAGTTTGCAATAAACAATAATCAATTTAATTTTCCATGCAAGTACCCTATTGTAAAATACAATACACCCTTTCACGTATTATATACGTTTGAATTCTGATTTCAAAATATTCAAACCAATCAAACCTCAATTGCTTGGTAACCGTTGAGCAAATTGCATTAAAATTTTCAGCAATTGTAGCCCTTATTAAGCTCTAAATGGCCTGTAATTAACAATATTCCCAGATTTATGGTTTTTGAACAAATTGAATTTGAAGTTTTTCACAAAATTTGGACTAAAGGTCAATTTTGAGGCTCAATTGCTCGAAAACTATTTGAGTTATCAAACTCAATTTTGCACTGATTTAAAGAGAATCTAATGCTCCTTCCATTGTATACAGGGTGTCAATTTGAAAACTTCCCACCCCTATTATCTCGGAGTAGAAATATTTTCAAAAAAATCCCTGAAACACGTCAACTATAATTTGAAGGGGGATGAGTTTTTATGCAAAATTCACCTCCCCTCTTGCAACCCCCTAACCCCCAGAGCCACCCCCTAGAAAATCTTAAATGGGAAGGGAGGTCAAGTGATACATCATTTTGCAGGGTTTTTGATTCAATACATTTTGGTACCAAATTGAAATAATTGAGTTCAACTGTTTTGGAAATATTGATAGTTGAAAATTGACTTTTTTTGCAACTTTAACAGGCTGTAAAACCTCAATGGTTAATTTCAGAGAAAACCCGATCTCACATTCTTGCCTTATAGTGTAGGTGCCCAGCGACATAAAGTTGCATTTATGAATACTGTCATGGAAAGTTTTGTGTGGCTGAATTGCGACTAGTCTACCACCTTTTTCCTTTATGAAAACTTTCGTAGTGGGGGCTTTTCTTTTCTAGTTTTTCCGAAAGCCGACCATTTCGCGTGGTGCAAAAAATTTATAGATATCGTTTTTATTTTTAGTGAAATCGCGAGCCAAATTCATGAAAAACGCGAAAAAAAATGTGTCCGACAAAAATGTTGGAGCGTTAAGGGTGTCTACCAACTCAAACATATCCAATTGACAAGTTAAAAAAAATTTTGGATAACGAGCTGATTTTTTCAAGATTACTTAAAAAAAATATGTAGAATATAGATATCCAAGTGTCCGACATAGTAGATTTTCCGATTTTCCAGTCCGACGCGAGAAAATTATCGGTTTCACGAAGCCAAAAAATTAATGAATAACTGTCGGACAAAAAAAGAATCATGTATATAAGAGAAGTAGTCGACATGTAATATAAGTGTCCGACAAATATATCAAGCCCAATTTGCTGTCCGACAAAAAACATCAATTATAAACCTACCATACACGACTATAAGTCACCCCCTTGAGTATATACCCAATAAATAAGTATCTAGTTATTAGTTAAGCATTCTACTTATCAATAATTATTCCATTTTTATTTTAATTTTCTTAACCAGTTGTTAAGATATACATATTGAAAATTATGTTTTGGCGGTGTGTGTGTAATTTTTGTCAGAATTAAATACCTACTTCACTAAATTCTGTCAAAACTTAAATTTTTGAACTGACGACCGACGCGATTTTTAATATATCGGTACATCGGCTAAAACAACCTCTTGTATACACATAATGCAGCCGCTAAAGAAAGCATAGTTTAATAACTCTACAATCCTGGTATAGTGTGACAACACAACCAGTATTATAATAGCTATACAACAACTCTATTAAGAGCCATGCAACTATTTATATATTGGGCATTCTGCAACTTAAAAACACTAAAAAACCACTTGCTTAATAGCTACTCAACCAGTTGTACAATGACTATACAGCCACTTGTACATTGGGTATATAAACTCTGATTCAATAACTATACTATCTTCTGTATAATCTCGATACAGTTTCCTATATAGTTGCAATAAAGCAATTAATATTGATAGGTATGCAAAAAAGTGTAGAACAACGCGTTTT